TTCCTATCTTTGCATCCAATTATTTGTATCACATGATGATCTCCTTTTGATCTTATATCCTCCAATATCTTCTTTTCCCACACCATAATACGCACGTATACATCAAATCTTCATTCATTCATTCATTTTTCTTCCTTTGGGGTTATGCGTTTTGGTTTACTTTTTGTGCCGCTTTTTTCTTATTTTAATATTGTGTTTTTACTATTATTGCTATGATTTAATTACTTAAGTTTGAGGTTCTAATAAACGATCGAACGATTCCTACACATTCCAACAAGGTAATCTATTTTCGCTACACTCATGACGTTGTGTGTTGTTATTCACTTCAAAGGCACTTAGGAAGTACAGTTCTCTGACAGAGTAACTCAGCAAAGAGAATTTCACGTTTGAAAACCAAACAAAATTGGTAAATGTATAAAAGTCTATCATTATTTATTTTAAGATGCTCTGTTTATTTACAAAATGCTTATGCGTTGAATCCTCGTTCTTTTTTTTTTATTCAGTTTCCGACGATGGTAAAAAAATCGATGAAATGCCATATTACGAAGGCAAAATTTAAAACTTATCAAACTACCTTATAAAGGCGATGAAGTAGAAATGGTTTTCATATCAAATCTGCTTCGGCTAACCTAAAAAATTTGATAGACGATGATCTTCTCAGATATATTCTTGATGCAAAGATAAAATAAATTTCCTTGAGTGATCATAGCAAGTGCCAATTAATTATCTTTGTTATACAAATCAAAAGGGAGTTTGTTACCTATTTCTGTTTACTCGGTCTACTCCTTCTAACAAGCACTGAAGCAATTTTGATGATATCATTTTATAGTTGTTTTAATTTCAGATTCAATTATCAAAATTCCAAGTGAGAGGAAAATTAAATCTGAAAAGTGCTCTGCAAAAAATTGGCATCACATATGCTTTCAGCAGGAGAGCTAATTTCGAAGATCTTGTGGACTACAAAACTTCAATTTCTGTGAAGAAAATTTTGCACGCAGACCTCATTAGATTTTTAATTTGAAATTTGACAGAAACAATAATTTGAGATTTCGAAATTCGATTATTTATTTTCAAGTGGATGAGAAAGGAACGGAATCAGCGGCTGCTACGCAGTTCAATTAAACAATCGAATGCGTCCATCTGTCACTTTCATTGCCGATCAGCTATTCCTCTTTGCAGTCGTTAAGAATCTGAAAACTGTTCTGCTTGCAGGCCAATTTGTCAATGATCCTTTCCTTCCCATTATTTCAAGTGCTCTATTAGCATGTAATAAATTGATTGCTATTTGAGTTTTATATTCTTTTATATGAATCTTTTTTGTATGATTTTATATGAATCTGGACAGTAGACAAGAGTGATTCTGTATCCAGTGCAATGCGCAGTTCCTCATTGAGTTGAAGTTTTCTGATCAATGATTTTAGACGACCGAAACACAGTCTAAAATTGTCCGTTAGTTTGTCCTTTGATTTTTTTCATGGCTAGGCTACTTGATATGTTCCATTAATTTTGCAGATATTTTCTTTGAATTCCTCCAATACTTCATCATCATGAAAATTGGGATTTTCTTGTATGCCTGTGAATTCTAATTTCCAGAGTCGATTATATCTGTGGATTTCGTATTGATAGGCATGATTATTTCCTCATCTCCGATATGTCTTCTGACACGTTTATGCTTGTATTCGTGCTTTGATATATGTGGTAGAGTATTGCTTCATCTGACACTGATAGTTAGTTAATGATGATTTCAGGAAATTTATGTAAATATCTGCTTCCTGTTATCATTGGGCCAACTATTGATGTATCAAGATGAATTCTGATTCAATGATTTGTGTTTTTTCTGGTTTGATGAAGTTGAAGAAATTGTCAATATTGATGAGTAAGTCGGGTTGTCTCCAATCTTCATCTATCTCATCTAGTGGAAATTGATTCAATATAATTGGTATATCATATTGACTTATTGTAACTATCTGCTTTCGATTTGTAAGATGGTTTACAACAGTGAATTCTATGGGTACAATATCGTCTTTCATTGTTTTTATTCCAATCAGTATCCTTGCCACAGTGGATAGTTTTAGGTTTTTATCACCGAAGGGGCGATTCTCATCCTGTCATATCCAATTTCCTCTAGTTTTAGTCGATTGTTCATTCTTTTGGAGATGCAGCATAGTTGGGCGCCACTATCAAAAAAAGTAATTGCTCTTTCCGTTGTTTTTGCACTATTCACGTTTATTACTTCAACCTTTCTACATGTAAGCAAGACCTTTTTATTTACATTACGCCACGTTCCACTTAACATGTAGATTGCCTTGATGGAATCCGATTTGTTATTCGATTCCACCAATTGTGTGCAATCTTTGTATTTAACTTGACCGAGAGCGGTGTTGTGAGGGCCTTTGCAGGTGAAAGCGTGTGCGGATGTTGAAATGGATGAAAAGGTAGCCCTTTAAAGAACATTTAAAGGGCAAAGGCGTTATAAGGCAATCTCTTAACGAATCTTGGTATATTGACTATTTATATACCTAATGTGGGTCGGTACCAGGGTAATAGATAAGTTTAATAGATAATCGCAGAGTTAGATAATGTCATGTTCGGGAGGGAAGAAGCAAGAAGACTAAGGCATTGTTAGATCACTTGTTAGCTACATTGATTTCACATAATAACAAAGAGCAATTAAGAGACAAAGACGTTATAAGGCGATCTCCTCATGAATTACAGCAGTACAAAAAAATTAAATCTGACAAAGACAAAGTTGTGAAATGTAGCTTCCTCAGTTTAACTATGAGAATAAATTTATATTTCAAGCTGAGGAATAATTTTTATGAATTTAATTTGATAATTTTATATTGTGGACTAATTTTGGATTTCCGACAATAAGTTAATACAAGCAAAATAAGAGAACTGATATCACTGAGAGGGATTCTTTCGATATTTCCCACTCTTCTTCACTCTTTGTTGCTTTTATTACATTCCAGCCGGTCCTTCTGCTCCTTGGTCCCCTTCCGGACCTCTCGGTCCTTTCAATCCTTTTTCTCCTTTGTCGCCAGGTGGACCTTTCGCCCCACGTGGTCCAGGCTTTCCTGGTGCTCCTTTTGGTCCTTTTGGACCAGGAGGTCCTATGTCACCTTCATCTCCTTCCCGTCCATCTTGCCCTGGCGGACCTGGCGGTCCTGGCGGTCCTCCTCCT